GATAAAAATGGTAGTGCTGGGTTGGATGGCCCCTCTCAACCAGTATCCTGCAATGTTTGGTTTCACAAAGATCTACAGGACATAAAATAGATTACTGACAACACTACAGCACTTTTCAGACTCGGTCTGACAGTTTTATAGATTAAGGGTAAAATGAAGTAAATGAGAGCCAAAGTTACTGAGTGAGTTGTGTGCAGCAATTTTGTGAAGAAGTGAAAGAACCAAGAAAGGACCTCGAAGGTGCTCTTTAGGTAACAGATTGACTTCATAATGTAAAGGCTTTGCTGTGACAGATTGTTTAGTTGCCATTTCTGCATTTTATCTGAGATAAGATGGAAATAGAAAACATTGAAAGATCCTCGTAAATGAAAAGAACAAATGGCAACAGTAGCAACATAGTGCTTAATCTGCGATCAAAAAAAGAAATATTAAAGCAGAAAATGAAAGAAACTTGTTGGCAGGGTAATAAATTGGTTTATATTTGAACTTGAATGAAAAGCCTCATATCAATGTATAAATGTAGGATTAATAGATATAGCTCAAGTTTAATAATTAAGCATCAGCAACTTCTCCTATTGATCTCAAGTGGCATGTAAACACCACGGTAATTGGTATGCTATACATCCACAGCTAGTTAGATAGCTAAGGGCTTTGGAGAGAGCTTTAAATTTGGTTTATTACATAGCATCAAAGAATCATGGACAAACTGAGCCAAAGTTAGTTTTCAGGGTGATTTTTAGACAATAAAAAGAAAGACACTTTATAAACACACCATAGTCCTAGCACAGTTTTACTGTCAAAGCATTTTGCCTCTAGCAAGCAACACTGTTCTTTAAGTGAAGCTGCATCTGTACTGAGTTCAAACGAACACAGAGCTGAAAAGTAGAGAGAGCTCTGACTCCAATCAAATAAATGACTGTTTTGGCCTCATAATATGTTTTCCAGCCCTAACTTTAATCTAAATCAAATGCCCATCTTTCTGGCTGTACATGCAATGCAACCACAGCACATGCTTAAGTATAGGAAAATTGCAAGTGCCTAACTACATCAAACTGTACTTCCATCTCGTCTGGAATCTACATCAGGCAGAGGGTAATACCTTCTGGTTCAGAAGAAAGAAACTATTCTCCATCACTAATTCACTTAGAGACTGTTCCGCAGATCCAGCCAAACAGCTGCTGGGCACAGAGATCTGGACAAGCAAACATGTCTTTTCTGTTCCTACACTCAGAAATCTTTCTCCCAAGCAGCACAGTGATGTCAGAGATTCTTTACAGTGCTATACTAGTAGGCCTGGCATCTACCAGGTACAGACTCTCTGCTGGCAAAGTTATCTGGACAGCAACACACCTCGTATGGTATCTCTGCCATAAGAACTTCCCTATAAATTAGCTGTCCAAGGCAGAGCTCCATGGCATACAGTCCCCATCACATCCCACCCATGGGATGAAAAAAAAAGCCAAAACCCATGAAAATTTTCCTTGCTTAGCTGTCAATTGAAGGGACAGTCTTAAAATGGAGAAATTAATTTTAAAGCAGTATCTCTTCATGACCTCCTGGAACAACAAATTTGCAGGTCATTTGCAAGCAGTTTGAAGAGGCCTTTTCATTTCAGTGGTTCCAGCAGTGCTGTTCCTGTCATTGTGATGTTACAGCCCTGATCTGCTACTTCTTTTCTGGTTGGTGTTCCCACCCCATGAGACAAGCTTCTGCAGAGCTCATGAGATTTGCATAAGCTCTATGTATGCGCAAAACTTTGATGTGCATTGTCACCGTTGCCTTAGTGTGTGTCTCTGAATAGTTGAAAAGGTGGCAAAAAGTCAATCAAAAGTTGGTTGATTCAGATGAAAAACAGCTTCTGGTCTTTAATACACTCTGTTATATTTTGTTTGCCATTATCTCTTCAGACCAGTGACTCAGTCCTGTAAATCCTTCAGCCTGATGACAGTGTTGACACATGATACCAGCCATTAGGTTTCCATGGACATCTACTTATGCCTCCTCTCCTCTGGATGAGGACAGCAAGAATGCCCAGCAAGATAAATGAGCCTTAGACTATTAAAAACCATGAAGACTTTAATAAAATCATGGAAACTCTGCCTTTTAGCCTTAAACAAACGACTCAGCAAGTGCTCCAGATGAATTTTTAAAATGAACTGGCTTCAGCAAAGAACTTCAGAAATGACCTAATGCCTCGTTGTTTCCACGCAGCTCTGCCTGCCTCAGACGATCACCCACCACAGTTGTGTCTGAGCATCTGTCACACAGAAAGTGCTGCCAACAACAGGGCTGCTTGTGGATCTCCTGAAGTCTCCTGCTCCACACACTTGTACAGGTAGGCAAGACCTGCGATGGGTTGTTTATAATAGCTAAATGGAGAACTGTGACGTGCCTGATGCTGTGAAGAGCATCCTGAAGCCATAGACGTTACTCTGAAGTATTTCCATTACCCGATGAGCATATAAAAAAAACAGAGCAAATCCCAAGCCATCGCCATGGGACCCGATCCAAAGGCCATTCACTTCAATGGGAGTCTTTCCAATGACCTCCATTTGCTTTGGAGGATGAAAATGGTCATTAAAAAGATAATTTCTATGGTTGTTTTAACTAACAAGAGCAGATGGAAAGTAGCCAATTTCCCAAGACTCATGAGCTGTCATATAGATTAGACATTCTTACTCATGATTAAGTCATACCTCACCACTCAAATAGTCCCTATGGCACTGAAAAGAGCAAGATAGAGCCTAAACAGGGAAAGCTCTCTGTAAGAAAAAGCAACTATGCAAATATAGCAGGAAAAAACATATAGGGGGAAATATAGGAGGAAAAAAACAAAAACTGGAGGAAAGCCAATAATTTGTTTTGCTAACAGCCCAGGTTGTTTCAAAGAATGACCAAGTTTGTGTTAGGAACTGCACAGGTTTTATCAGAATGCAAGATGACTCAGCTTAACTTAGTGAAAGTACAAACATTTTGACTCCCTGATTCTTTTTTTTTTTTTTTTCTCTTTTGGGTTAGGTGATACAATTCTCATCTGCAACTTGACAGGATGTAGAAAATAATTACAAATGAAAAGGTTATTCATAATTTTTAAATGAGTTAATTAGTAAACCCCGCCAGAGCCACTCATTACAGTAATTAATAATTGATTATACTTGAAATTAAACACAATTTTTCATCAAAATCTAATTAAATATCTGCCTTTTTGCTTGTTGATTAGAACACCGGGTCTGGTAGAGACAATCTTTGCTAAATATGTTTATGCTGAAC